ACTGAGTTTGTATACCTATGTCAAGCCTGCCGTCAGCACCAAGGTATTTGTGTATCACTTGTCCGTTCCGTCACATCTAGATTTCAAGCCACATGGTGCAGTTCTCATGTATCTGAAAAGGTATTTAAAACTCCTGTTGAAGCTAAGAGGAATTCAGCCAGTGTATGGAAGGTAGAACTAGGCTTCACACAGATCCTAGGACTTGGACTATTGCACTCTTCATCTCAAAAGCAAGCTGGACACAAATTCAAACTGAATGAGGAAACCTTCCCTTCTTCATGTTCTTATTCTTTTACTTGGCACTGAGCGCTTTTTAGAATAAAGCCCATTTTCTTGTCTGCAGGCAGCTCCGTTCATATGGCCAGTGCTTTCATTTGCACCTTCGGGTTGAGAACTCCCTTCGGTCATCTGAAACAGAAATGGAGGTGTCTGTGAAGGCACATGCACGTCTTCCAACAGGCAGCCACTGGACTTGCTTCCCATTAGGTAGCTCTGCCTAACTCTCCTCTTTCAGTGGCACAACTTCTTGGCTTTGAAAAGAATTGAACTGAATGTGTATAAACGTCTGCAAGAGGAGGCTTGCACCCCAAATCTAGTCTCATCTAGACAGCCAATAATCCACAGGGTCCCTGCCTTAATTACTACGTCCCTAGACACCTGAGCTATTGCCTTCCCACCTTTCACAGCATCACTGGAAAACTCACCAAGGTTTGGTGAGTGACAAAAACTCACCAGCTCAACGAGTTTTCTTATAACACAGCAGGGTGACGCGTTTTTAAGGGTGTGAAAAATTATATAGGATTTATCCAAAGCTGGGGCTGCAACCTAAGATGTCCTAATTTGGATGCATGGCAGCCATTCGTACCCAAAGAGCTATGGTGGAAAGGAAATCCTTGGAACTCTCCAAAAACTTGGACATCTTCCAGGCTGAATGCTTGCTTAGAAAGCCGAATATCCATCAGTAGCACACAATGCACAAGAGCTAGTAAAATTGTTGGCTGCTGAGCTCACCATTTTGTGTAGCTCAAAGCCTGGTCAGTCTTGTTTGCACACAAGACAGACAAAGCGAGGGGCTTGTCTATAACAGGTTGCTCATTGTAGGTCTGTATTACTCAAATCTTTTTAGATTCTCCCCAGTAACACATTCCTCTCAGGTTTCTAGTAGTGGGTTATGTTCTGAGCTCAGTTTCAAGGCACAGAACCACTCACACAACCAAAAATGAAGGTGTGCTCTACCAAAGTAATATATACTTGCTTCGCCAAACACCTATCCAAGTAAGAGTTCAAAAAAAAAAAAAATTCAAAACTTACTTTTCTTTTACACTGTGCATTTGTAGATGCGTTATTTTCTGTCTTCATTCCAGTTGCCTCTTCCATTTCTAAAGAAAGTAATAATTAAATTAGAAAGAACCAGGGCTAAGTAAGCATACAGTCAATTTAACAGCTTACTGAAGTAAAAAATACCTAATCAGCTATTCCTCTGGGCATTTATCACACAGGAGAATAAGTGAAAAATGATGAACGCTTCCTAAAATGTTTTTCTGAGGCAATGTGATTAATGTATCCTAATGTAATCACTTGGGGGTGAGCCTGGGGGTGTTTAGAGAAAAGAATGAAATTAGCAGCTTGACTGATAGACCTTTCAGTGCTGAACTCTGCCTTTGTCCAACAGGTTTGTGCTAGGGTAACTCCAGTTGTTATCATCTCAGCAGATGGGAGGGTTCAATGTAGAATGGGCTTGGAGAGTCCTTACACTAACAGTATACCTGTCGTTATCTTCCCCTGGATTGGTCCCCAAGTAAAAGATAAATAGAGCCTAAAAACCTTCAGGCTAAATTTGAGTGAGACAATCAAGTTCCAGTACGCCAGTTAAAAAAAGGTAGAGCACATTATGGAAAATTTCACCAGTGTTTCAGCAGGGTCTATCAGGCCTGTGTTGAATTAACATATTCACTCCTTAACATATAGCATAGGTGACTTATTTATAATAATTTACATTAAGAACAGCAGTTTGGCCAAGTGGTACAAACTGTAATTGATTACTTTCCCTTGCACCTAATGGCCTAGATTATGGTGGCTGGTGTTTCTAAGAGGTCACCCAGAAGTGAATGAAGAAGAGTATTCCTTTGAGCATACATACCTGTGAGAAGGGCATCAATTGTCTCCACTACGTGTTTTGCATCTTCCATTGTGAAACACATTGGTGGTTTAAATTTTAGTATGTTTCTGTGAGGTCCATCTGCACTAAGGAGGATTTGATGCTCTTTCAGCCTGTGGAAAGAGGAAACATTTGCAATAGACGCAGGTATAGAACTATATTGTGTCCTGTCAGACCCTTCAGGCTGAGTTACATTTTGGAACCTTTCTTTTTCTAGTGCTATGTTATGAAAAGCTACACAAATTTAGACTGAAATTAATGAGTAACTGCTGGGGAACATTAGGAGCGTTTGATCTCTGCACATAGTCTTTAGAAAAACATTTACTTGTAAATAAGGTGAAGGGCTTCAGCTGTGGCTGGTGTTCGCTTTTGTTGATCTTTCACCAGATCCACTCCAACAAATAATCCAACACCCCTGGAGAAGAGAAAAAAAAAACCACCACAGACAGGTGAAATCCAGTGTCAGTAACTCAAGCCTTTGCTTTGCGAAATGCAAAGCCTGTTTCTAACAAGTGCAATTCCCTTCCCTGGCAAGAAGCAGCAGGAAAGAGAGGAGACTTTTTCTTTGGTTGTCTTTTGGCACTGGCTACTTCAGACAATCAAGTGAGGTAACAGATATTTCTGGATAAATAAATTTATCTGGCTCCTTAAGACTATACGGCCAGTTAAGACTGATAGAATAATTTTCTTTCTCTCTTGTCCTGCTCCCCTCAAGCCAGGGACCTCTGGAGGACAATTAACCAAAACCAAGAACTACAACAACCCCACAACCCACCCACCCCCCAAAAAAAAAAACCCTGAAGGCAGGTATAATGGTAGCAACATGAGATAAGGAAAACCCACACTAACATCTCCAAATGAGATGGACCAGAGATTTGAACAAAGTCTCCATCTGCCCAACAATGTGCTGACAACTGGGCTATTGCACACGGATGGCTCTTTCTCCTACTCTCTCCTAGAACTTTTCTTATGCCTAAATGAGCAGGTGGATGGACAACTTTTTTGAAAAATTTATTGCATTACAGTATCCGTTTTGGGTAGTCCATTTTAAAAAAGAGGGGTAGCGTAATCATGACATAATGTTTCTGTGTTCCCCTCACCCCAAACTTGTTGATTTTTCTAGCACAGTTACTTTTCTTCTCTGACCCTCCTGTGAGGCACCCACCTGATATCTCCCACTAAGGGGTGTTTCTCCTTTTGCTCAGCGAGCAGCTCCAAGAGGTAATTTCCTACGCGTGTAGCATTCCCTTGGAGATCTTCTTTTTCTATCACATCCAGCACAGCCAGACCAATAGCACAAGACACTGGATTGCCTCCAAACTGATAGTAAAGACAAATAGGAAAACAAAACCCATCAGAGACATTAACCTGTGTCTATCCATGCAGTTTTTAGTTGCCTTCTCCCCCTTGGTATGTCATGAGGAAAGCCTGAAGAGGTGGGGACTTCTGTCCTGTGCAGGCTGTGGAGCACTGACCCCCACACTTTGGGCAGTGTAAGAGGCCCAAGGGAGGGGCTCCCTCTTCCTCCACTTTGGGTTTCAGTAATTTGAAGATTTCACAGCTGAAACATTCAAGCTGCTCTCATGGTTTGCTGATTGCATGCACAGGCAAAACGTTCCTGTGAAGAACAGTGGGTGACAGATCTGGTATTTCTTGAGCCAGAGCCTATAAACTCCATTGAAAGCAGGGGGATTCGTGGTAGTTGGGAAGAAAGCTCAGTCACAGGAGCAGAAAGAGGACTCGGTAGACATGAAGAAAGCTGCTTTTCTAAGGTCTGCCAGGGCAGGAGCCCCCCCAGAACAGAGCCCATCCTAGAGAATGACATTTTACATGGTCAGCATTTCAGAGGGGGCAGAGAGAGAGAGCTAAGGAAGAATTTATGTGTATGGATGTGAGCTGAGATACATGACTTGCCCGAAACATAGTGTTGGTCCATATTAAGATATACCACTTGGTACAGAGCATATTTCAAAGCCTCTGCACTTGCTTTTATATATATTAGATTGTGGTTGACTTGAGCTCTTAGTAATGCGATACAGTGATGGGTGCAGATGCTAGCTGAATCACCTGAACAACTTCTAAATTCAGACCAAAAATAAAAAAAAAAAAGGCAAACATTCATCTACGAACTTACGGTATTGAAATACTCCAGTCCGGAGGCGCCAAAACTTTCAGCGATTTCCCTTGTCGTGACCACACAAGACATAGGGTGTCCGTTGCCAATGGGCTTGCCCATGGTGACAATGTCAGGCACAAAATCTTCGCCTTGCAGCTGGAATGCCCAAAAATGCTTCCCCACTCTGCCAAAGCCAACCTGGACCTCGTCAGCTATGAACACTCCACCCGCCGCACGCACGTACCTAAGGACAAACAGAATATGGCTAGCCATGCAGTACACATCTCCATTAGGCAATCCAGGACAAGGGAGTTTGTATTACAGAAATTCTCCAGTGTGAGACCAGGTTAGAAAAAAAATAGAAAGAACGTGGCTGCTGAAACACAGCTGCTATAGCTATTGCAATTGATAAAATTTTTAGTTTGCTCATTTTTTTTTGATGCAAAACAGGGGTACTGTAATGGTACTGCAGGGTCATATCTGTGGTGGTTTAACTTCATCTCCCATCAAAATTATGGCCTGAGGTTTAAAAATAGAAAAGGAAAGACAATTATCCAGCTAAAAACAATTAGTCAGCTGATGTTACATGAACAATAGACCTGGAATCATACTCTTCAAAAAGTAGAAAGGAACCACAGATAGATAGGCAAGAATAAGAGAGCGTGATAGCTGAATTGATTGGATAAGCCTATAGTGAAAAACCTGTTTCTTTGGTTAATTTTCCAGTTACACCCTTTTGAAGTGATGTACGTACTCTGCAACTTTCTGGAAATAGCCCACAGGTGGAATTACTTGGCCTCCACAGCTCTGCATGGATTCAGCTATGAAGGCAGCAATCTACAAAAAACAAACTCAGGTGAGTGAGAGCTGTGTTCGTCTACTTGGCCTTTACACAAACATCTAACAATCTAGAAATAAATGTTTAAACGTGCGCCTTAATTTAATCACACAATGGGTTGGACAACCGAGGGCTCTTGAGAACAGCTACGGCTAAAGAATTTATTCATTTTGTAATCTGGGGTGCCCAAATTCATAGTAGCCAGGGCCACCTTTGCAACCTGATGGGAATACAAGGACCTTCCACTAAGGTCCAGTCCTGTAGCTGTTGAAGTGGAAGGCACTGGTGTCAGCTGCTGTTGGATCAGGCTCCGGGGAGCTCTGCAAATGTATTTACAAATTTCAATTTACAGGAATTTACAGTGTTTGCCATTCTCCCCAAGAGGTTAATGAAACTTGCTTAATGCCAAGGCTCTCCAGTAATGGGTATGTGTGGTGATCAGCTTTTTTGTTCAATCCTGAACACCAAGTAAAGGTGGGCTGAAGCTGAACCGCAAGATGACCTGAGGCTATGTTTTGGGCACCCCTGCCTAATGCAAATAACTACACAAGTAAAATGTCAGCAGGAGGCACTTGACAAAAGAGGAGAAAAATTCTACAGGTGAAATAATTCCAGTTGCTAGGAACGAAAAAGAAAGTTATTTCAAGTCAGGAAGGGTAAGAGCAGCAGATCAGATACACTGGAACATCAAAATTGGTTTCTTGTCAACAGCAGAGGTCTACGCAGCAGAGATACGATATTACCCCAAAGTCTCAGCATAAGTGTGCTATTTTAGGGATTGCATCCCCACACCACTTGTGAACCCCTCCCTGAGCATCAAGAGGTCTCTCTGGGCTGGTGCAGTCTTCCTGGAAACAAGGCCGAGCAGTAACGTGTAAAGACCCGTACACTATATTTGAAGAGGGCATGCTACGGCCAAAGAGTACGAAGCTTTCCGTAGCATGTGAGGCTTAGCCTTTAGCACAACTTGTCCTGCCACGGGTCTATGTCACCAAAACCTAAGAAATATGCAAAAGAAAGGAAACAAGGGAAGAAAAAAAAAAAGACAAAACTATCCGTTAGTAGAGAATAAAAAAAAAGTCGATGAAGAAACTAAAAGAAGAGTGATGTTAAGTGCATTGGACTAGGAGGAAATATGTTGTTCCAATCTCCACTGAAGTCTTCTGTGACTTCAGTGGGCTTTGGATCAAGCCCTACATGTCTCAAAATGCTAATGCCATCACACAAAACATTAACACACTTTTAAAGTAAGCCTGTTAGAAATTTTCTGCTTTTATCAAAGTCATATTGGATATGATTGAAAGGTTCACCTCTGTAGATGACCCCAAACTTATCTTAAGGTACTAGACTCAGAAATGTAGTATCAAGATTTTATTAGCATATTCTCTCCACGTCCTGGGGACTTTTATATATCCTTGCTAGAATTTGTGATGTAGTTTCCCAGCTGACCTCAAAGTTTGCCCTAGGATATTTACAATCAGTAGATTCAGTGCATAAAATAGGAAATTAAACTGCTTTGATTGTATCTGCTTATTTACAACTATTGATGCCTAGAAAAGTTATGATAAGAGCATCAGGTAGAAAAATGGCCCATTTTGAACACAGAATCCACCATTGAAAAAAGAAGGGCAGGGGGAAACAAGGGAGACTGAGTAAAGAAACATGTCCTTAGTTGCCCCGGGCCACACTTAATAGATGAAGCCTCAGCATTCCTAGAGCACAAAACGCATACCTTGCGTCCATTCTTCTGTGTTTCTTCAATAATCTTTTTCACCTCTTCAGCATAGGCACTTGCTGGATCTGGGTGGTCTTCCCTGTATTTCCCTCTGTAGATATCTGGAGAAGGAGCCTAAAAAAAAAACAGTTTGGGTTTGTTTTTTTTTTTTTCCAAAGCCCATCCTTCTATGAAACATTTACTTTATTTTCTATTGCTCTGCGGTTTTGTCTTTCCACACAAATAGACAATAGGAGTTAGTACAGCCTGAATTTCTGCATGGAAATGCAAAAATGCTTACAGGAGCATAGAGTCAATCCAGCCCTGTGGTGTGTTCAACATTACTGGACTCAACTGTTGAATGAGCCATCATCTACCACATCTACCTTCTATGACTGTCCATCCTCTCCCCAAGACACACTACCAAGTCCTCATGCATCATCTTATTTCAGATTCTTGCAGAAAGATCCATTTCTGCAACTGGAGAATGGGGTTTTCCAGTCTGTCACTTCCCCTCCAGCATCATCTTAGTCGTGGTACGAATCTGGGTGACCTTCAAGCCTCTACAAATGGTTTTGGGAGAGGTTCCATAAATAGGAGAAAGGAAGCAGTATAAAAAGGCAGATACTGCTTTGGCAGTGTGGTTAACACAAAGAGGTCTAGATAGGAAAGACCTGCTTGGTGTACATCTTTGGGCTGAGAATGATACTTGCCTTTGTAAGATATACAAGTTCAGGCTGAAAATCAAACAGTATCCCACTCCCTTGGGCACTCATGAGCTTTATACCCAAATCTGTGTGAACTTGTGGGGTCTGCTTTTCCAGTTTTGGGAATTAGATTCAAAAGTCCTGCATATCTTTAGCCAAATCAATACAACAGATACTGGCAAATTTCTTCAAACTGTGTTAGCAGTGACTCAGGAGCGCTATGAAAGAAATCAGCCTCACAGCTGAATACCCTCTTAAAAATCCAAAAGCAAACAATTTTGCTGTATCTAATCCACAGACAAAGAGAAAAGTGTATATACTTTAGCATCAGCATAACAGAATGAAAGCATAGTTACATCAGAAGTGGGTAATTCAATATGCTACGTAACAGGCATAAAAATAACAAAAAGCAAAAAAAAACCACACTTACCACATGCACAAACTCCTTCTTGCTGTCCTTTCCCAGCTGATTAAATTTATAGGGACTGATGTCAATCAGAGATGTAACATGGCCATGGTAAGCACTGCAGGAATGTTAAATATCAAAGTCACTTTTCGTCACATTTACAGAAGAGCTAAATTTACAACTGTGCCCATAAAGAATCCAGAATAAGCAACTGTATCAGCAACACAGTAGCACTGTTTGCTAAGGGATCTTGATTTAATTTCCTCAGAATTTCTCTCAAAGACGATATGAAATTGCTGTTGACCTTAATTCACTGGAAAGACTGAAACCAGGAGGTTTTCTTCTTGCATAAAATCAAGTGCCAGCATGGGGACAGACCAAATAAGCAACTATATCTGCAACACAGTAGTACTGTTTGCTAAGGGATCTTGATTTAATTTCCTCAGCATTTCTCTCAAAGATGATACGAAATTGATGTTGACCTTAATTCACTGGAAAGACTGAAACCAGGAGGTTTTCTTCTTGCATAAAATCAAGTGCCAGCATGGGGACAGACCAAGATGATGTTCCCTGGACCGCAGTGCCCCTACAGTGGCTGAAGGGGGATGGGGCAGGGGGGGTCCAGCACCCTTATTTTCAACCAGTGGCCCCCACTCCGGCCATCCCAAGCTTTGCAGACCCCAGTGCCACTGCATCAGAAAGGGGATTCTTCTGCAGCAGCACCACCACCACACCACTACCTGCCCTGAAAGCCCTACAGGCTACACTGTTTGGCAGAAGCCACATAAGGATGAATGTTGTTTGAATATAAAAGCTTTGTATTGCAGAATATGCTATACGGTGGCCAGTTTGATTTAGAAATTAGAAACAGCCAGACCCCAACGCCACTGCATCAGAAAGGGGATTCTTCTGCAGCAGCACCACCACCACACCACTACCTGCCCTGAAAGCCCTACAGGCTACACTGTTTGGCAGAAGCCACATAAGGATGAATGTTGTTTGAATATAAAAGCTTTGTATTGCAGAATATGCTATACGGTGGCCAGTTTGATTTAGAAATTAGAAACACAGCCTTTTGAACCTAAAGCATGTAGCAGCTCCACTCAGGGATAAAGGCATAAACTTGAAGCAAAGTGAACCTCAAACCAAATCAAAGACCTGTCACAATCTCACAGCAGCACACACATAGGGTGGAGGGTATGTTTTTGCATTCCTTTTGTCTTCTTTACACCTTTCCACTAGCCAGTCAACAAAATCTGCCAAGGGACACAAAGAAGGGTGAGAAAGCCCACCCTGACTGGGATGGCAGCTATGGCAAAAGCCTACAGAGCCTTGGGACCTGGGCCAAGAAATACCCGGTGGTGTTCAGGAGGAGAAGACATTGCAGTGAAACAGTGACAGAGCCAGCTCCACCCTCAGCCTCTCCTGATGGAAGCTACTGTCAGTGACTCCAAATCTTGGCCATGTGAGTCAAGGAGGGCTAACAGGGATCCCAGAACAGCCAAGTCAAACTATCTTTGTGCCATTCAGATAGAGACATGTGCTCTTGCAGTTGCTCTGGCTGGACTTTCCAATCACAGCCTGAGAAGAAGATCCAGCCCTACAGCTGCATCTAGGATAGAGAAACCCAGAGACACGGTCAGCCACCTTCCCCATGGCTGATGGCCCTCCCAGTGCCTCCTGATTTTGCAGCTGCTTGGCTTTGTGTGCGGACTGGTGTTCACTGGAGGAGAGCTGAGGATCAGTGCAGCACCGCTGCAGAGCTACAGGATCTTTCTTCTTGACCACTGAGTATTTATTTGTACAAAACAAAACATGTCCAGCAGAGCATGACAAAAGGAAAGCCCTTTTGCAGAGCAGCCCAGCGGCCAGACCACTCATTGATGTTTCAAACCAACTGCCTTGAGAGTCTCTGTGGGAAATGCCCCACAACAGGTGATTGACCTTCTGGGCTGACTAACAAGCTTATGTTTCAGAGATCTTCAAAACGTGGGTTTATCCAAATGTGGAAAAGGGATTTCCTGACCTGTTCTAGTGTGAAAGCAACAGAGCTTTTCTTTCAGCAGGCAGTGGAGTACAAACAGCAGGGGGGCTGCTGTGAAGCCACCTCTGAAGCAACGGCAGGATTGCTGGCTGCATTCACCTGAGCTCCTCCAGGTACTTACTTTTCCAGGGTGATCACATCTTGGTGCCCACGGTACTGCCGAGCCAGCCGTAGAGCAAGATCATTTGCTTCAGACCTGCATCGTAACAGACACAGCCACAAACGTGTGAGGAAGGGCTTCCAATTAACATGGTCTTCTGACACAGAAGAGGAGGCACAGGACTAATGGGTATCACAAATCAACACAGCAGGCTCTGTTACTACACAGATTACAATGCTAAGGTTGAGACTGCAAATGCCACGGAAGAGGGCAAAGAAAAAAACAGCTCTTTGTATAAACAAAGAGATGCTTTCTTTCCCTCCCCCAGTTTGCTTGTAGATATTTACATCCTCGTGGTACAAATGACACCCCTTGGCAGCCGAGAGCGCAACGCAGCCCCAAACCCTCAGAGAGCAACAGCGTGCCAGCCCCATCTCCCACCCTCCACCAGGGCTCCTCCAGCCCCAGAGCTTGCACCGTGGGGCAGCAGAGAACCCAGATCTGCTCCCCAGAGCGAGACTCAAACTTGCTCAAACTTGAGCAAAACTCAAACTCAAGACTCAAACGGCCCGTGGCAGTCCCTCTGCTCACTGCTCCCTGGGGGCTGTCTGTTCTGGCAACGTCCCGCATCACAGACTAAGTGGACCATGTAAAGACCACTCATTTCTAAGGTCATATGTCAATTTACAGCCAGCATTCACCAATCTGTACATAACGGTCACCAATTCGTAATCTAGTTTGCTTTTCTTGCCTCCCCCCCCCCCCCCCCCCCCCCCCGTGGGACAGGGGAGAGACCAGGAACAAAGAAAGTGTGAAAAGGTTTGGGTCCACATAACAACAGTGTAATAGGTGAAGAGAAGAGATTAAAGAAAACCTCCCCAAGTGAATCAAAGAACATCACTTATCACCTCCCACAAGCAGACTGATGCCCAGCCAGTCTCCAGGCAGCAGACTCCTTGAACGACAAAAAACTCCACCATCTGCCTCGTCTGTCTCAGGATTTTGCTCCTGAGCATGAGCTCATGTGGTATGGACTATCCACCCTGTATATTTGGACCAGCAGTCCTGGCTGGCTCCCCTCTCAACTTCTTTCCTATCTCCCACCTGGAGGGAGGAGAATGAGGAACAGAGAGGGCCTGGACGCTGTGCAAACGTGGCAACGTCCCGCATCACAGACTAAGTGGACCATGTAAAGACCACTCATTTCTAAGGTCATATGTCAATTTACAGCCAGCATTCACCATTCTGTACATAATGGTCACCGATTTGTTGTCTAGTTTACTTTTCTTGCCTTCCCTCCCACCCCCTCTCTTTTTTGAACATCATTCAGCAGACCAGTTCCATGTTTTGGCTCCCTTGCATCGAGCCATCACGCTCAATACGACAGCCACAAATAGGAAGGATCCTTCCATCAGTACTGGAAATATTTTTGCTGCTTATTGCTCAGTCCTACTTCGTAGGAGTTGGACCAAGCTGATCTCAGCGTCCATCTCAAACAGGCCCAAAACAGTCTTAATGGGAGAAAAAAAAAAAAAAAGAAAATATT